CTTCTAAAACAGGGGGTCTCAAAGTCCGGACCACGATCTGGATGTGGATCGAGATGCAAGTTAATCTGATAATGCACCTTATGAATCAATATGGTTAACATAAAAAGACTTAATGTGGTTTGAGGTACAGGAATGCAATGTAGAACTACCAAGTTTTGTACACACATAATTTGTCATAAAGCTGACATTTACTTCCTGGTTCGACGGCCAGTGTCAAAGCAGCAGCCCAGTGGTTCCTTAATTGATGTACATGCTTCTCTAACCCAGACCGCGGTGTCCCCATATCTCTTTACCCCGGAGGGGGACTTCCCTGTTACCTGTGTGTGTGTTGAATGCATGTTCCTGGTTGCCATGGTTATAGGTGTCCATGACCCCGTTTTTGTGTTTCAGTGTTTCACAGCTCATCTTCATCAGGCATCTCGGTGGATTTCTAGCTGTGGCTAATATCCGAGGAGGTGGCGAGTATGGGGAAACATGGCATAAAGGTAAAATGGACATGCCTAGTGCTTATACGGAGCTGAGATGCGCTCACTTGCAGGTTAAAACGTCCTAGCGCAAAAGCGACATGCTAATGTAGCCTAGCATCCACCCACACTTTACACACAGTGACACCTGAGTATTAAGCCACAAATACACTTTGGCCACTTCTAAAAGTGGGTGGGACCGGCTCCCCCTTTGCTCTCAGAACGGCCTGCATTTTCCATGGCATGGACTCCACAAGGTCTTGGAAACATTACAGGGAAATTCTGCTTCTTGTTGACATGATTATATTAGGTTAGTTGACCATTGATGTAGTGAATCTCCTGCTTCACCTCATCTCAGTGGTGCATCGTTGGGTTGAGATCTGGTGACTGGCGAAGCCGTTGAAGTTCACTGAACTCATTATCGTGTTCATGGAACCAGACTGAAATGACTTTGTAACATGGTGCTGCTGGGTACAGCCATTAGAACATCGTAAATTGCGCCCATGGGATGCGCACAGTCAGCTACAATGCTTAGACAGGCAGTGACATTTAAATTATGTTCGATTGATGTTATGGGGCCCAATGTGTGCCAGGAAAACATTTCCACAGCATAATTCCATTGCTGCCAGTCTGAACAGTTGACCCGAGGCAGACTGGGTTCATGTATCATGCCGTTTATGCCAAATTCTGACCCTGCTTGTCACAACTGAAATTGAGGTTCATCAGACCAGGCAATATTTTTCAAATCTTCACCTGTCCAGATTTGGTGAATCAGTTTGCTATTCTTAGTTGTCAGGAGTGGAATCTAATGAGGTCTACCGTTTTTGTAGCCTGTCAACCTCAAAATGTGATGTTTTTGCAATCAGAGATGCTTTTCTGCTCATCACTGTATTAAGGAGCTGTTGTTTGAATTATTGTAGCCTACCTATCAGGTTGAACCTATCTGGCTATTCTCTTTTGACCTCATACACAAGATGTTTCCATCCACAAAACTGCTGCTCGTTGGATGTTTTTTGCACCATTCTGTGTAGAAACATTACACCAAGAACTCTAGAGACTTGTGTGTGAAAATCTGAAAAGATCAGCAGTTTCTGAAATATTCAAACCATCCCATCTGACACCATCAAGCCACGGTCAAAGTCACTGATGCTTTTCTCCTATTCTGATGTTTGATCTGACCATTAACTGAAGCTCTTGGCCCATGTCTGCATGATTTTGTACATTAAGTTGCTTACACGTGATTGGTTGTTTAGATTAGATTGCATGAATAAGGTGTACAGATGTTTCTAATAAAGTGGCCGGTGCGTGTATATCTAACGTGTACAACTTGTATGACTCTGATAAACATTCTCACATTCCCGTATGAACCCTGCTATTCTCCTGCCCCCTTCTCCAAACTCCTCGCTTGTAGGCGGAATGCTGTCCAACAAGCAAAACTGCTTCACGGATTTCCAGTGCGCAGCCGAATTCCTCACCAAGGAGGGTTACACGTCACCCTCCAAGCTCACCATCAACGGGGCATCCAACGGTGGCCTTCTTGTGGGTAGGTCAAAAAGCCACAAGTCATAACAGCCATAACAGAATGACATACTCAGCTTATCGTTTGGCCATTTCTGATCAATCCAAGATGGCTGACATCACAAGGGCTCAAAAACTACACATTTTACATATGCTGCCCAGTTAGTAAGGTAGTGTGTGAATAGCAGGAGTATGGTTCCTGTTTGATGTCTTGTGGGTCCTGCATGCCATGTTTCATTTACTGAAATGGAGTTTATTTCCTGTCTTGAGGGTTTAGCAGTACTGTGGTTGGTTTTAGCTGCTGTCCACATTCACTAATCAGCTGTACCCTTCTCATTATACCTGGGTGACCTTTGTGTGATAATAGTTTAGTTGGTTGAAAAACTAAATTTTTTTGCTTGGCACTCATTGACAGCTTATGTTTGGTGGGGGGCGGCTGCCCAAACAAAAGCAGTAACTGAGCCGAGTTAGAAAACCACGTAAATAATTCAGATTAGCATTCGCTAATGTTAATTTAGAAGCTTTCTAAACTCAGTGCATGGGCCCAAAAGACCCTGTATGAACTTGCAATATTTTATTACCATCATTTTGCAACAGACTATAGTGGAAACATATTTTACAGAAACACTTTGAATTGTAGGGAGTTACTTTGGAACACAACAAAGGAAACTTCCTTGCTCATATTAGCTAACCACTGGATTGCAGTTAATAAAATTACTGCTAAGGAAAATGTTCTGTTATTTTTACCCTGTTCTGTACAATACGTACTCTGACTGGGGTCCAGACTAGTCTGCTACTTTATATTGTCCTCAGCCAGCTGTTTTTAAGTCCATATGCCAGCCTGTCACCGGTGTGATCTGGGTAATCTTGACAGCTCCGTTGTATCAGTTGTATCAGGAGTCTCCTCTCCCCCCACCCTCCGCCATACCCTCCCCTCAGCGGCTTGTGTTAACCAACGGCCGGAGCTGTTTGGCTGTGCTGTAGCCCAAGTGGGCGTCATGGATATGCTGAAGTTCCACAAGTTCACAATCGGTCACGCCTGGACCAGCGACTTCGGCTGCGCTGAGGTCAAAGAGCAATACGGATGGCTAAAGAAGTGAGTCGACCTTGCCTGCTCAATGCAGAAGGTCACACAGTAAACAGACGTTGCCGTAGTGTACTTCAGTATGACATTTTCCAATACAGTTTCAAAGCGTAATTTGAGCTATTAAGGCTTCTATGAATTTCATTACCGTGGTTGTTTCTTGTACTCTGTTTTTGCTTTTAGTTAGCATTTGCCCGTAAACTATTCCTGTACAATGTCTTAGTGTTATGTGCAAGCCTGTTTACGTTCATATGTGGATGCATTTTCTTTTATGTCTATATACAGTCGACCCTTACTCCAATTGTGGGAGTTGGGGGCGCGGGCCCCCGGCGATCCAGAAAAACGCGTAAAAACTTTTTGGTTGGAACTCCCAAAAAATTCCTGTTGAATATCTGAAAACGTGATAGGGAGAGTCACGATGCAGAAGGGTCGACTGTGAACAGGTGTGTGCGTTTTTCTTCCCCTGACCTGGTGACCTGCATCCCTCCAGGTACTCCCCACTCCACAATATCTGCGCCCCTGAAACGGATGACATTCAGTACCCAGCAATGCTCCTGCTGACCGCCGACCACGACGACCGGGTGGTCCCTCTGCACTCGCTGAAGTACATAGCGGCCCTGCAGCACGTGGTCGGCCGCTCGCCCAAGCAGACCAACCCCCTGTTCATTTACGTGGACACCAAGTCTGGCCATGGGGCGGGGAAGCCCACCAGCAAGGTCATCCAGGAAGTAGCAGACATGTATGCCTTCATAGCACGCTGCCTGGGCCTCTCCTGGATCAAATAGTGTTCTGGCCATATTTCTCTTCTCACCCTATAACCCTCTTCCTCTGGATCATCCTTTTCCTGGCTCTCTTCCTGCCCACCTCTCCCTCCCTCAAGATACAGAAATAAAAATGTTACCACACTCTATATGACCCTACCTGTTCAGCAGTAGTACCCAGAGGTAATTCAGTGTATTTCCGCCGCTTTGGCCTGGTGGGCTGTTCCAGCAATGGCCCATTCGAGTCTTTTGTACTTACACATACCCCAGTTTTTTTTCTCCTTGATGCCTCTTGGACATTACCCCCCACTCCTGCTCTTCCTTGATTTATTTGATATTATGATGAGACTGAAAGGAATTTTTTAAATCCATCATAGGGCAGCCCTGGCCCGTGATCCAGTGAGAACATCAAGAATTATTAGCTAGTAAGGACTAATTAGTTAATTATTGGCTTGTGAGGACTATTGTAATTCATTAAATCTGTCCAGTAGCCTGAACCAGTTACATGATGCCACTGTGCCTTGGCAATTTTGGGAGTGACATTACAGAACTTTCCTGATGGCCAGGCTTTTCACAGCATTGTGTTTCCCACTGCGTGTGTGACACTGCAGTAAATGCAGTGTCACAGAGATATCCTGTAAATTACCTCTCACCTGTAGTTTTTTTCTCTCAAAAAAAGCATCACTTGCATGTTCCACAGTTTAAGTGTAGGGAGATTCAGCTTTTATAGGGATCAGCGTTAGTGATTAGGTGCATGTATGTGTGTTTGAGATGTGGATGGTCACGAGGAAGAAAAAACCTGTTAACATGCAACTATTTACAACAGTACCTGGATAAAGATGAGGAAACATTGCACACCTCTACCGTCAGTTAATATTTGGCTGTGTGTGAATGTCTGAAAATGTTCTTTCCTCATTAAATCAACAGGTTGGGTTTCTGATAAGTTTCTACCTCTGGAAGTCTTTGTTCATTTATTAATAGTAAGAACGTACCTAATAAAATCACCGCGTTTCAACAGATGTTATACTTGTGTTTGTTAATGGGCGAAAAAATTATGCTTCATCTCCAATAAGAAAACATTTTGGTGAGAGTCTCACAATGTAAAACTGTATTTATAATGAGAAAACAAATTACACGCTAAAGCATTCAAAAAAAAGATACATTTCTTTCTTACAATTTAAGATTCCGACAGCTTATGGACAGCCAAAAATGATTACGTTTATGCGTCGTTTCGTAAAATATAAAAGGGAATGACATACTATACAGAATTATATTCTATTACATAGACGTTTATAGGTCGAAATCTGATATGAATAAAGTAACACAGCAGATCAAGATGTGATTACAGATCAACGAGGGTAACACCGGTGAATTTCTAAATACGACCAAGTGCGTGACGTTTGCCGAGAAACAGGAATTCTAAGGGAAAACTAATTTATTGGAACCGTCATTTTCTCTCTATCGTGTCCCGTTCATCCTTCGGGCATAAGGACCAGGCGGAGCGTCTGGCAATCCGTAGATCGTATTTTAGAGGAGGATAAGAATCGCAAACGCATGACATTACATGTCAGATTGGGGGGTAGGCTGTCACATTTGAACTGGTCCCGAAGATTCTGAGCTTAATGTAGAGAATGCTAATCCACTAAGTGTCTGCTGTCCTCATTTGACTAGAACCTAAATATTACTTTAACCATGGATCCTCCGGACTATTTACAGCTGGAGAACTTAACTTTGGACGGGGGAGCAATCGCATATCCTGTCTGCATGGAATGGAAAGAGAAGCCGGAGGGATCACTGTTTCATCTCGCCAATATATTCTTGGTTCTGGGTTTTATGGGCGGGAGCGGATTTTATGGCTCGCTGTACTTGTTCTCCTTCCTGGCGCTTGGTTTCTTTTGTTCCTCCATTTGGGCTTGGTCAGATGCATGCACCACCGACGCCTTCTCCTGGAGCTTTGCCCTCTTCGCCATCTGCGCCCTCCAGATCGTCCACGTCGCCTACAGGCTGCGAAATGTCACGTTTGATAAAGAGTACCAGGATCTCTATACCTACATGTTCAAGAGACTCGGGGTGTCACTGACCCATTACGGGATGGTGGTGGCGTGCAGCGACGGGGTGATACACACTATTGAAAACGACCACTGCTTCGCAATGGAGGGCAAAACGCCAATCGATAAACTTTCGATTCTCCTCTCCGGCAGGTAGGTGAACCTCAGGCAATTATCCATCTTCCTCTAAAGAAATGAAGTCCATGAAGTGTTTTAAACGGAGTTTCCTTTCCTACAGAGTTCGGGTAACTGTAAATGGGGAGTTTCTGCACGACATTCACCCCTACCAGTTTCTCGATTCGCCCGAATGGGATTCTCTACGGCCTGCAGAAGAAGGAATCTTTCAGGTGAGGTTTCATATCCCTTGATGAATAGGCTAACTGCGAGACTCATATCTCGTATGCAAATACTGGCAGATTAAAAACCTAATTTTCTGCTGTCTTTTTAGGTGACGCTGCGAGCCGAAAACTCCTGTAAATACGTCTGCTGGCGGCGCAAGAAACTTTATTTACTTTTCGCCAAGCATCGCTACATCGCGAAGGTGTTCGCCCTCCTGGTCAGAAACGACATCGCGGAAAAATTATTCTCCCTTAACGATAAAGCTGTGGGCGGTGGCGGGTTTCGTTACGATCTCCGGTTACCCAGCTTCTGTTACGTCCCCGCTCCTGAATCGGAGCCGACAGACGTGTATTTACGGGTCCCGGAAAAGCGCATCCACCCACCGCAAACACCAGCATGAAGGACGTGTAGTCTTTAATATAATTTTGTTTTGTTTACTTTCGCGTTCCCTTGAAAAACCTCGTTTTTTCTTCATATTTTTTTCCACTTTTTTAGGTTCGGTTTTATTTACACATTTTCCCAGAATTTTTATGATTGTAAATAAATTTTGTATTATATATTAACAACAGCATAATAAATGTGAACACGGCGTTTTTAGGACTGTATAAACACTACATCCTTACTTAAACTTTGTGTGTGCAATTCGGTCGCAATAGATCTGCACTGCGTGTAAATCGACACTCTGCAACCATGGCCAAATTTAGCTGCAGAATCAACTTTTTGTTACCAATTTGTCATATTGTCGTCCAGAGAAGCATTGGAACTGATATAAACATCGTTTCCTTTCAGACCAGTGACTTAACACAGCATTTCACAAGAAATCGTCGGTGAAAAAAATGTCCGTTTGTGTCAGGACCCTGAAAGGCAAAGCACACACTTATGCATTCACATCCCCCCCCCCCTCCTCATATTACCCCTCCTCATATTAGTGGTATCTCTATTTATAGAGTAGCTGAAACTGGCAACAAACTATGACAGCTGCTTTTCTTGCTGTCCCACACACAACTCCCATGACATTCACACATCAAATGACCGCGGACACTCCTTGTGACAATCTTCGCACGGAAAGATTTATCTGGAATGCATAAGAATTACGTGCTTAATTTGTTGTAGAATTTATTGTATAGGCTACATGCATTGTAATTCACGTTTTTAATTCTTTTGGATGGCATTTATATTAATATGAGCCTTAATTCGGGGTTTATCCTGGAGCCACACAATTTGTTTACATTTGATTGTTTAGTTATTCAGCCGCACACGATGTACCTTCATAAGTGCTGTAACTATTTTTTTTGATAAATACACGACGAAGAACTTTAAATATGTGCATTTTGTTTTTATAATCATTTATTCCCCCAAATAAACCCACACACAATTCACATTTCCCTTAAAAAAGCTATTAGCTGTCCATAACGCTACAGCACGCTTGCCGCTCTGCCCCCTCCAGTCACTGTCCCACAAGTGAGGAGGCAAACAGGAGCCCGATCGCCCGAGCCCTGCTCTGGTTCTGTGGTTGAGTGCAGGGGGGTCTCCAAACGGCTCCACCGAGCCAAGGTATTCCTAGACGTTGCTGTCATGTGAGAAGTTGTACCCTATACAGCAGAAATGCAGTTTACACTGTTCACCATGGTGCTGTCCACGGTGCTGACTGGAATGTCGTAACCTGTGTTGTGTAGCAGTTATAAAAAAATACGATGGCCGATTTAAACCTGCTACTTCCTGCCGAAATAATTGCTGCCATGGGGGCAATTGAGGTGAGGGGGGCACTTTGCACCTTTGCATAAGCGATTTGTTTGGTACCCCATAAGTTGACGAAATCGGGGTTGCCAATTTTGGTGTCAGCTGCCTAGAGTGAGATCTTCAGTTCGAGAGAAGTCTGCACATACATGCACACGAATTTATCTACATGTATCACATTTATAACTTTGTAAATAGTGTGAGTGGTTTGAAAAGTACTCCAATGCTTTTGATGTAGCTAATTATAGGGTTATAATCGAATAATACAGATTTGCCGTAAGATTTCTTGCATGAGCCTGAGAGTCTGAAAGTGTGAGAGTCACGCCAGATACGTGCGAGCTGGCAATCATGCAAAAAAGTTGTGCATCAATGGGCACGTAAGGCAAGCTGGATGGAGTTTTTTTTTAACACCCCCCCCCCCAACCGAAGCACAAACATCAAAGCTTATGATTGCTGTTCTCACTGAACAAATGAAGCCGATGAGATACGCAAATTGTACAATGAAATGTCTACACTTAAAATTCCTTCTTTGCTATTTAAATATTTCGTATCTGTTCATTTAACAGTAAATTCCGGGTTGCACAAGTAGCATGATTTTTGCAATTGCCATCAGGCAAAACTAAATTGAAATCGATTAGCTGTCAGATGAGGTTTTATCTCACTACTTCCCCAAATAGCCTCATTTAAATAACAAGAATTAGGCCTATCGCGACTATACACCCCACAGACAGGACATGCTTTGTACGATCTTATTGGCTACTATAATCAATATTTTTCTTGAAATTATTTACTGGATCTAGTACATATTGCAGCTTCCAACGGCTTTACAAGCTATTGTCGATAAACATTATTCCAGGCGAGCAAATTTTGTTAATGTTTCAAGAAAAGCAGTACAGTATTGTTTTCCACAGATATATCTATGTTTTCAATATTTGACTTTTCATTAACGAAACATTATCAATAAAGAGTATTGCGGAGTTCGCTGCTAAATAGATCATACGTTCTCTTTGAACACATTAATGGCAGGTGTTATCTGCCAAATTTGTGCATAACTGGAATAGCACCACCCACCGAGAATAAAGGCCAAAGGCGTAACTTTGGCTGGAACATCGGGGGGGTTGAGGTCTCCACCCATTACGGGGGAAACATGATTATTGGGGGGTTGTATTCATGGGCGTAAATTATGGGGGGATGGGGGGGTTGTAGCCCCCCCCCCCAAAAAATATCACAAAACCAGCTAATACAACCCCCCCCCAATAATCATGTTTCCCCCGTAATGGGTGGAGACCTCAACCCCCCCAATGTTCCAGCCAAAGTTACGCTCATGGTTGTATTAGCTGGTTTTGATTTATTGGGGGGGGGGGGGGGGCTACAATCCCCCCATAATTTACGCCCATGATAAAGGCCCATTGAACTTCCCCTTCAATAGCCACCCAACCCCCGCGTTCCGGGTCTCACAGTTCCCCCCACTATAGTAGCCACGACAAGGGAATATTTACTATAAAACTACACCACATTCCCGAAACCGGGACAGTACAGTGTTCAGCCCGTAGTGTCGGCGTAGTGCCTCTGTCGCCCCCTGGTGTCGCTGACTGACAGCGCCAGTGGCCGGGGCGGCGTTCGCGTGAAGCCCCCGCTTTCTTGCCCATTTTAGTCGATGCTTGTCAGCTAGCTGGAATGCGCGGCTCACACTGAGCAGCCCAGGCACTCACCGATTTACATTTATAGCTCTGAAATCCTGGACCAGAACTTTTTTTCTTATTATAACAACATCTGTCTTGTGATTTTCAAGGAGAGTAATTTTATTTTCTACCTATGAACGGTAAGTTTAAAGTGTTTAACATTTTGTCGTTCTATTGCTTTACAAGGTCTTAGACAAGTGTTTCTGAACTGAAAACAGAAAGTTGTTGCTTAAGTTTATCTCGTAGTCCTTATTCAAGACGTCGTAAACATGTCTGATCCCCCAAAAAACGCAGAAGTGGTTTAGTGAATATAGTATAATGTACATTATGTATGTGTGACATTTATGTTTAATGATAATACTTGTAGCGAGCGAATTGAGATTTTTTTAAACACTGGTTACAGCGTAGTTACATGGGTTTTCAGATGCCGCTGAAGAGTGACTGGGATTAAAGGTGCGACCGATGTTCTCGGTATGTGGAGCGCAGGCGTGCGCTGTTGGGGCGACATTATTTCGCTTTTTATTTCCATGCCTAGTTGAAAACATCTGAGCTCATATCTTGCTTACGTGTTGTTCGGGCTTCTTGAAAATGGAATTGACGGGCTGCTGATCCTTTTATAAATAATGGTTGTCTTTCTGTCAATTGGAACAACAATTGTCCTAACGTCATAAGAATTAATTAATGTTAATGGCATAAAAATACGTTTATCCGAAATAAATTCAACATAATAACACAAAATATTTTTTATTGTCGCATAAATATCAAACACCATGTAAGACAATAAGGTTATAAAACATTAATGCATAATTGAAGACATCCTTTATTATAATTATTTTTTTTTACCTCTTCTCAAAGATCAGGTTTTGTCTAACTAGTATGTTTTGATAAAGTGTGTTATCAGAGTTTGACCTTTGCTTTCCAGGGACTGGCCTGGGTGATCCTGGGTGAAAGATAGAAGCGGCATGCATAATTACAATTTAAAAATAATTCTGTTTACTAACCAAAATTACAACAGCAGAAAACTTAGCATCTTGCTTAACATTAAACCTTCTGCTGGACTATTACTTCATATATATATCTTAGTTGTCTTCTGCTTGGCATTTTCAGCAGGATTGCAACAATTAAAAACACGTATCACCTTTTATATTTATAGAAATTCAGCATTATGCAGCAGGGATTTAACTTGCGGCCCTATTTTAGAGGTTTAACCTCTAACTCTTTCCGTCGTCCCTTAGTCACTACTCTGCCGTTCAGACTTTTCACAGTGTTCATATATTGACATTTTTACATTTATCTACAGTACACTTTTGTCCAAAATGATGTACAAATGAGGCAAATAGCAGATTACAAACATCCATGCTGTCTAGATGTTGACTAGGTGTGAGTGCAGCTAGACTGAGCTTCCAGTAGAAGCACAGGTACAACTTCTAAACAAAGCGAGAACCTAGTAAGACTACTGTTCAGTTGGTCACACACTGACACACATACAAACCACATACTGTGCTAGCAGGACAGTCTTCCTCAGGTCATTTCCAAGGAGTGGGTGGTTAACATGGGCTGTTCAGCTGGGGATATTATATTCTATTATTTTTGGGAATGTTTATGAGGTGGGCAGGGTGACCCAGCAGGGGCACGGTTGCCTCATACTCCCAGGGTAGGGTGTTTTTGATTAGCAGGCTGTTTTAAGCCACACTATTCTGGCTGAGAGGTACTTGAGATACAGTGTTTGCGCATCGTACGAATTGCCCCTGCAGGCCAAAGGCATGCATATAGGCTAGTGGGCATCTCATAAGGTGTATCCCTGTCAGTCTGTACCCCAGCCTTGTGCCCAGTGCTGCATGGGACAGGCTCCAGACCATTCATGACCCTGAAAAGGTTCAGCAGCTGAAAGATAGATGGATTGTTTTTTTTATGTGGGACATTATTTTCTGACCAAAGATATTCTCCCTTAAGCTTGTCTTCTGCTTTGTGGTATAATCTGATTGCCCATTTTTCTTGCAGTCTCAGAATCACCCATCCGTCTGTTTTCCTAACTGTTTATTCATTGCATTCTAGTGAGTCTCGGACCTAGCACAAGGCACAAAGCGATTTCAGCACCTCAGTTTACCTAAATCACATACCCTTGGGCTGTAGGAGGAATCCTGCAGAATGGTGACACCCATTCACACACAGAGAGGGCATGCAGAATGCATAAACTCCAAAGAGAGGGGCAATCGACCGCATAGCCCTTTAGCTGGCGGGTCACCGTTCTGGTCTGGGCTTTGGATCCCACTGCTGGGTCTCTGTGTGTAGAGTTTACAGGTTCGCCTTGCATATGGGTGCTCCGGTGCACTGGATGAATTGATGGATGGATGTACAGTTGGATGAGATAAGACTTTGAAAAGTCTGCAGATTTTTAGTGCTACATCTGTGCCTTAGGTGGTGGCAGCAGCAGCAACAACACAAGAACAGCAGCAAGAGAACAGCAACAACATCAACAACAAAAGTGATCAACCCAAGGTCAGGAATTGACAGCTAATAGTCACTTTCCTTCTTTCTCCACATCTCCTCTCACTTTCACTGTGGGTTGAGTATTTGCAGCAGGGTGCCTTGGTTAGCCACCAGCTGTGGGACGTGCAGCCACAACCTACATGGTTGTCAGTTACCTCCATGGCACTGACTTGGAGAAATGTTACACTCAGTTGAAATCAGCATGTTGCACTTTTTTTCTGAGATGTTTTCATTGGGAACTGCTTGTCTTATGTATAATTTATTTTGACGATGCTTTGATCCAGTGGCACTGGCAGAGAGTAGCTAACATATTTGTAGACTTTGAATTGCTTGAGATGTGTGATCGCTGCCACTTGACCCACCTGATGGTCTGCTGATGATCCTTTCTGACTCCAGATGCGTGAGGTAACTTTCCAGCAGAGACTGGCACAGCGGTTTAGCAGTTTCCTCCCTCCCTTGTCAACAAATAAAGCTAAAATGAATATTCTGTTGTAGTAGCTGTGCTTCCACATCTCAATGAAAAATCTTTGGGTTTGACTTAATACCAAGACTGCAAAGATCTTATTTGTATTCTTGGCAAGAGCGGTCTTGCTAACTTGCCTCCAAAAATTGAACTTGGGATGCAATGAATCATGGGATTGTTGTTGTCAGTAAGGATGCAANTGTTTACTAACCAAAATTACAACAGCAGAAAACTTAGCATCTTGCTTAACATTAAACCTTCTGCTGGACTATTACTTCATATATATATCTTAGTTCTCTTCTGCTTGGCATTTTCAGCAGGATTGCAACAATTAAAAACACGTATCACCTTTTATATTTATAGAAATTCAGCATTATGCAGCAGGGATTTAACTTGCGGCCCTATTTTAGAGGTTTAACCTCTAACTCTTTCCGTCGTCCCTTAGTCACTACTCTGCCGTTCAGACTTTTCACAGTGTTCATATATTGACATTTTTACATTTATCTACAGTACACTTTTGTCCAAAATGATGTACAAATGAGGCAAATAGCAGATTACAAACATCCATGCTGTCTAGATGTTGACTAGGTGTGAGTGCAGCTAGACTGAGCTTCCAGTAGAAGCACAGGTACAACTTCTAAACAAAGCGAGAACCTAGTAAGACTACTGTTCAGTTGGTCACACACTGACACACATACAAACCACATACTGTGCTAGCAGGACAGTCTTCCTCAGGTCATTTCCAAGGAGTGGGTGGTTAACATGGGCTGTTCAGCTGGGGATATTATATTCTATTATTTTTGGGAATGTTTATGAGGTGGGCAGGGTGACCCAGCAGGGGCACGGTTGCCTCATACTCCCAGGGTAGGGTGTTTTTGATTAGCAGGCTGTTTTAAGCCACACTATTCTGGCTGAGAGGTACTTGAGATACAGTGTTTGCGCATCGTACGAATTGCCCCTGCAGGCCAAAGGCATGCATATAGGCTAGTGGGCATCTCATAAGGTGTATCCCTGTCAGTCTGTACCCCAGCCTTGTGCCCAGTGCTGCATGGGACAGGCTCCAGACCATTCATGACCCTGAAAAGGTTCAGCAGCTGAAAGATAGATGGATTGTTTTTTTTATGTGGGACATTATTTTCTGACCAAAGATATTCTCCCTTAAACTTGTCTTCTGCTTTGTGGTATAATCTGATTGCCCATTTTTCTTGCAGTCTCAGAATCACCCATCCGTCTGTTTTCCTAACTGTTTATTCATTGCATTCTAGTGAGTCTCGGACCTAGCACAAGGCACAAAGCGATTTCAGCACCTCAGTTTACCTAAATCACATACCCTTGGGCTGTAGGAGGAATCCTGCAGAATGGTGACACCCATTCACACACAGAGAGGGCATGCAGAATGCATAAACTCCAAAGAGAGGGGCAATCGACCGCATAGCCCTTTAGCTGGCGGGTCACCGTTCTGGTCTGGGCTTTGGATCCCACTGCTGGGTCTCTGTGTGTAGAGTTTACAGGTTCGCCTTGCATATGGGTGCTCCAGTGCACTGGATGAATTGATGGATGGATGTACAGTTGGATGAGATAAGACTTTGAAAAGTCTGCAGATTTTTAGTGCTACATCTGTGCCTTAGGTGGTGGCAGCAGCAGCAACAACACAAGAACAGCAGCAAGAGAACAGCAACAACACAAGAACAGCAGCAAGAGAACAGCAACAACATCAACAACAAAAGTGATCAACCCAAGGTCAGGAATTGACAGCTAATAGTCACTTTCCTTCTTTCTCCACATCTCCTCTCACTTTCACTGTGGGTTGAGTATTTGCAGCAGGGTGCCTTGGTTAGCCACCAGCTGTGGGACGTGCAGCCACAACCTACATGGTTGTCAGTTACCTCCATGGCACTGACTTGGAGAAATGTTACACTCAGTTGAAATCAGCATGTTGCACTTTTTTTCTGAGATGTTTTCATTGGGAACTGCTTGTCTTATGTATAATTTATTTTGACGATGCTTTGATCCAGTGGCACTGGCAGAGAGTAGCTAACATATTTGTAGACTTTGAATTGCTTGAGATGTGTGATCGCTGCCACTTGACCCACCTGATGGTCTGCTGATGATCCTTTCTGACTCCAGATGCGTGAGGTAACTTTCCAGCAGAGACTGGCACAGCGGTTTAGCAGTTTCCTCCCTCCCTTGTCAACAAATAAAGCTAAAATGAATATTCTGTTGTAGTAGCTGTGCTTCCACATCTCAATGAAAAATCTTTGGGTTTGACTTAATACCAAGACTGCAAAGATCTTATTTGTATTCTTGGCAAGAGCGGTCTTGCTAACTTGCCTCCAAAAATTGAACTTGGGATGCAATGAATCATGGGATTGTTGTTGTCAGTAAGGATGCAACTAATGTATCCTTGATATCTAGGGTAGGGCAAGAACGACGTCCAGGGATTTTTACTGTCCTCCATAGTTCTGTTTTTGAGTATTGGAACAGTACTTTGGCAATGAAAAATGATGTATGTGAGAACATAAGAACAGTCAAGTATGCATATTGATAAACACCCTTTGTTTCTGTCTGTGAGCACAGGCAAGTACACAGCAAGACGATGACCCCCCTGGACGCGACTACATCATTCGACATGCTGGTGCCGCGTATTCAACATGCCGTACATGATCTGGGCTTGGAGGAAAATGGCACTTCTTGCAAGGCCTGGGAGGAGACCCACCACCTGGTGTTCCACCTGGCCAATGCATGCCTGGCCCTGGGCATTGCCATCCCTACCACACTCAGCGTGCACATGATCCTTTTAAGGATATTGCTGATAACCGGTTAGTCCACAGCACCCTCTAGTGGCTGCATGCCTTCCATTTAAACAGCAAATTCAGAAAAAAATGCAGTGGGTGGGATGTTTGCAGCTCTTGCTACACACACACATGTGAAATTTACATCAGAACACTGGATAACTTCTTAGAAATGTTTCAGCCTGCTTGCAGTGTTTTACAGTATGTGGTGTATGTGCATATTATTATGTATTTATGTATATGAATCTGTATCTGTGTAGGAAGATCCTGACTCAGACTGGTTTACAGATACAATTTCTTTTACTCATCATCTCATAGTATTTTTATTAAAAAAAAAAAATAATAATAATAATTGAATTTGTCAGCATAAATAATTAATATTGTAATGACTGTAGATCTTGTTTTATTCATTCGTCTACCACAAAACATATCTAAACTCCAGCTTAATGTAATTGTTTATGATAGTGGAAGTTATTATTGATCTGATGGAAGGTAACTTTGCATGGATTGCTATATGGGTGATGTAGAATTTAATGTTGAGTTTTTTGGGAACCTCTGAGACAGACTAAGTTTTGGTAAAAAAAAAAAATAATAATAAAACTTAGAAAGTGTCCAAACCCTTATGAACCTGTAGTAATTGTTTTTCTGTGGACTAATCTGTGAACTAGAATCACAAGACAAACTTTTTTGTCGTTACCATTGTACAGATAGGAATGTAAAATTAAATGCATCAGTGAGTATCTCCATTTTTACTATCCTTAACAAGTTGTAGGTGTTTGTCCTCAACAAATAGGCACTAGCGATTGATGTGATGGGCGTTAGTGCCCCGCTGTTGTCGCTAGGATACCCGTATTTGTCTCCTTCTGTACTGCGCCAAGGAGCCACCATTAGCGTCTCCCTAACGTCTAATCCCGCCTCCTCTTCCCCTTCGCCAGGATGCTCCCTCTTCATCGCCTGGGCAACGCTGCATAGGTGCGCTCTGGACATTATGTTGTGGAATGTGGTGTTCCTCATCATCAACACATTGCACCTCTTGTATCTGCTGTACAAAAGGAGACCGGTGCGTAGAGAGGGATCATTTTCCTCTCATAAGGGGCTTCAGCACATATGTAGTCATACTCTCTGTCTATTCGTCACGCTGTGACTAATTGAGGGAGGGGGGTTGATTACGACTCTGCTGGGGCCTAGAAAAATATTGCTTTTGATCTACCAATTCGGTTTTCTAAATTGTAACATTCCTTCTACTGCTTACAATGAGCTCTCACTGCCTGCATTAAAAAATATCTTCCCTTCTCATCAAGACAACACTGGATCATGCCGTTATGTTTTTAGTTTAGAAGTTGTTGTGTTCACTAGTTATCGTCTTGATGTATGGGGCAGTATGAGAAAAGTCTTCTTTATAAGAGCAGAGTAATTTCTGATAGCTGTTTGTAATTATTGTTTTATTCTCATTATTATTACTACTAGATTGTCCTCAGCACTTCAAATGTTACTTTGCAGCAAAGCAATATAATTGTTATGTTGTAACACTGAAATGTGTTTTTGTATTGTAGTATTACCATTGTTTTTTGATGTTATCAGTTGTTTAAATAATAATATTAAATGGACACTTATCTAGGACCTGGTAGGACCTGTGTTTCCCTCCAGAAACACTTTTGTAGATCGTGTTGTGCAAACAGAGGTGCATTTCTACAAAACATTGGACTTCTGGCCATCTTGTTAGCTGTAACAAATCTGACCATTCTTGTCTAACCTTTCTAACAAGAGCAGTGTTTTGGACAACAGAAATGCCAGTAATTGGACATTTTTGTTCATCACATCATTCTAGATACTGTAGTGCGTTAAAATCCCAGGAGGATGACTTTTTCTGAGGTGTTAGAACCACCATGTATAACACCAGCAATCATGCTACATTCAAAACAGTCTTAGTCATTCTAACAGTCAGTCAAACAGTAAGTGAACCTCTTGACCCAGGCTGAGTACTGCATGTATTACATTGCAGCCACATGACTGACTGCTTGGAGGCTGTTAGTGTTAAGAAGTATATATACTTATTAAACTGGAATGATTCTGGACAAATTGACCATAATTTTTATTTGATTCCATGAACACTGCCAAAAACAAAATGGTATTTTGCTTGCATCCACAGGAGACCTCAGTATTTTCCTTTAGCCTTTTTTTTTTTTTTTTTACTGTTTCTAAGAAATTTTTCCTCAAAACTGTAAAACAGATTGAATATTAGTTTGTGACATTAAAAAGAAACTACTATGTTCTTCCTTTAAAACAACTGCAAATATTAAAAATTTAAATCCAAATACCTCAAAGACAATGAGAGTACATAGCACATTTCTCTTCCTGTGGTTAAACCTGAAAGAAATTCCAGAACAGCGTTTCTCTTTCCAGATCAAAATCGATCGGGAACTGCAGTCAGTGTACAGGAGGATGTTTGAGCCCCTGCATGTGCGGGAAGACCTGTTCCAGAAGCTAACTGGCCAGTTCTGCACCATCCAGACCCTGAAGAAGGGCCAGGCGTACGCCACAGAGGACAAGACCTCTGTGGACGACCGGCTCAGCATCCTGCTGAAGGGGAAGTAGGTGTTGCCGGGTGTTGCCAGGTGTTGCTGGGTGTTGCCAGGGTTTGCCGGGTGTTGCCAAGTGTTGCCAAGTGTTGCCGGGTGCTGCCAGGTGTTGCTGGGTGTTGCCGGGTGTTGCCAGGTGTTGCTGGGTGTTGCCAGGTGTTGCCAGGGTTTGCCAGGTGTTGGGTGCATGACCCCATAGCTCCTGTTAGCAATTTATATAATCGGATCCATTTAGTTGAACTATGCTTTTGGGAAAACCACCCATTGCCGGTTGTGGCCAGGTATTGATGGGTATTTCCTCAACATCACAGAGTACCACAGTGAATATTGTACTGTGAACAATCACCCCTTTCATCAAACAACATATTAAAATAGAAGACTTTGTCATTTTGTCATTTAAAATGTTCAATCACTTCAATCACTGGTCATTCTGAAAACACTGCAGAGTTGATCACTCCTCCAGACATATTCTGACTGTGCTCCCTGTCTGCTAACCCTTACACACACACACACACACACACACACACACACACAAACACAGAGAGTTTGTAATTATATCTTTGTAGGGACTCTCCATTCATTTCCATGGGGAAAACTCTAATCCCAACATAATGACCTTAACCCAGCCTTAACCTTAACCATAAGTAACCAAACAAAATATGAAACTTCTGGCATTTTTAGTTTTTTGATTGCAGATCTTTGTGGGGACCTGGAAAATGGTCCCCACAGTGTCTAAATAACAGGTTTTTATTACATTGTGGGGGACATTTGGTCCCCACAATGTAATATAAACCTAATCCACAAGCACACACACACGCACAGACCTGTCACATCTTTGTGGGGACCATCCATTCATTTCTATGGGCAAAACCTTAATACTAACAATCACAACTTTAACCCCTACTCAGCACGAAATTTAATCATAAGCGACCAAACAAAATACAAGACTTTTGGCATTTTTAGTTTTTTGATTGCACTCACAGACTGAAAAAATGATCCCCGTGTCAAAATAAGAGGTTTTTTTTCACATTATGGGGACATTTGGTCCTCACAATGTAATATATACCTGGACCACAGACACGGTTTTTTGACTACATCTGTATTCTGTGACAGAATGAAGGTGTCATACAGAGGACATTTCCTGCACAATATCTACACCAATGCCTTCATCGATTCTCCAGAGTTCAGGTCCACCCAGATGAGCAGGGGTGAGAAGTTTCAGGTGAGCAGGGAGTCAGGCCTTGCTGTCGCATGTTTTGCTGCATGCTGCATCACACCGGTGTGTGACCAGTATTTTTCTTGGCTGTCATACTTACATCGACAGCACCCTGCATTATCTAATGCATTTTACAAAGACACTGTCAATGCAACAGTATATATTTTATATGTTGACATTATATAATTAAAGTATGTTGGTTGTACATCATAAAACACATCCTTATAACTCTATTTACATATTAAATATCTTTATATATTTATTGGTGCTACCCATATTGGCTTTAATCATTTAAGTGATTAACAGGTAAATGCCAGAACAATTTAAATTTAATAACCATTTTAACATTTTTTCTGTTACTATTGTTTGCAGAATGATACTAATGACATGACGTTTCTCTTTGCCCCACCATGTGACCATTGATTGACAGGTGACCATCACTGCAGACGAAAACTGCAAATTCCTGTGCTGGTCCCGAGAGAGGCTCACATACTTCTTGGAGTCTGATTCTTTCCTGAATGAGATATTCCGCTACCTCATTGGCAAAGACATCACCAACAAACTGTACTCCCTCAACGACCCTACGCTGAGTGACAAGGTGGGCCGCCATCTCTATGCTCAACTCTATGTTACTTAAATAAATAAAAGCTTTATTTTGCTCGGAGACTCTCTCTCCCTCCCTCCTCACTTCACACTTCATTTCTTTCAACTCTTCTGTGTTTTGCTAGTGAAAATCTCACTACGTATGGCTGCTTAGGGAACAGTAAACACTGCGTAGCTTCAGTGGCACTTTCTGGCTGGACCTCCCAGGGGTTTCAGGATGTTAATGCTGTGCTCCCGTGGCAGGCGGTGAAAAAGATGGAGCGCCATCCCAGCCTGTGCTCTCAGCTCTCCATGATGCAGATGAGGAACAGCATGGCCAGCACCAGTGAAAATGAAGACGTACTCAACCAGTTCCTGCGTAGCAGCTCAGCCGGCTCCTCTTTCCGTAAGTACTGCCTGCCTTGTCGCTGCCTTGTACCATGCACTCTGATTGGCTCTGGAGTCAGTGTCTAACATCCTGATTGGCCCTAGTAGCAGTTCTCCTGTGGTGACTTGTCAATGTCTTAGATCTTTTCTTTACAGTCCTCATAATGTATAGCCTGTACCTATTGTTCTCTCTGGTCTGCTGTTAGCTTGTCTTTTGGTCCTTCAGTGTTTCTTTTACATCTTCTTTTTGGCCAAGACGGTGATCGCATCCAGAATTAGCTTCACTTCACGGAGGGGTGTAACCTGAAAACATTGCTCATGGACGAAATTTATCTAAGTGAGCTCAGTAAGGAAGGAATCCCATCATAGCCAATTCTGTTTTTTTTTTTCCACTTTCGCTTGTCTGTTTTTATTAAGATGAAGGGATTTTCTTTCTGTCTGGTGATTTTCCTTTGCTTTTTGTATGGTCAGTGATGACTGAAACTGTAGGCAGTGGTGACCAGCTTATCTCATCATATCTCTTCTTCTTGTGTCATGAAGAACCACCATCTGCCCCAAACCTCCCCTCCACAATGTCTCTCACTTCCCCTGCAGCTTAGTCCATGCTGTCTCTCTAACTTCCTCTTCTTCTCCTTCTTGCTCTGTCGCTCTTTCTTCTTTGCCTGCTGCTGCTCCTGCTTCTCTCTCCTCCTCTTCTTCCTCCCCTTTCCTTCTCTAGGTGTCAGACTAACACCCCCCCCCCATTGCTTGCTGACCTAGGGCTGACCTCCTGCTGACATTATGTCCCCTTCTGTCCCCATCCAGCAGTGACACAGCCCATTCCCTTTGACCTACAGTAGCCTCAGGTATCCTGACAGGCACATTGTAAGACCAGCCTTCTCTCTTATTCCCTCATTTCATTTTTCTCTCTAAATACCATGGTTTGAAGTCATGCAATAATAATTCAAAGAAAGCATCAATGGTTTGATGAAACATCAAACAAACCTGAGCTTATAACATCACCTTCCCTGTGTTTCATGTGACTTTAATCGAGTGTCAAATTCACCATGAACAATAACCATGATTTCCCCTGCACTTGTGGTTACCGTAACATTTACAATGTTAGAGTGTTGAATCAAACCAAACCAAACCAAACCATAACATCCCTTGCATTCTTTTTTTACTACAAGATCTGCAAGTACTGGAAAACATAATGCCCCCCCCCCCACTCTTTATTAAAGTTATAGCTGGAATGAGTGTTGAATCAAAGCAAACCTACAGTCCAACATTGCAAGATTCTGAATGAGCACGGAATTGAGCCAAAGCGTAACCGTAATTCAAGGACCATGTACTGTGTACTGTGACTTACCACTTGTACCTTGGACCGGAATGGGCTGGGTCCTTGACAGAATCCTGCCGTTCTACAGGATTCTCCTGTAGAGGCATGTTTTGTGTGTCATATAACTGCATTATGTGAACTATGCTGTGAGTGGTTAAGTGTGCAGGTGCAAGCCATGTTATAGATGTACATCCTTTTATGGTTTTATTTATATATAGTATCTACCACCATTACATATAAACATGGCTAATATTATCCACAATTAAAGAGAAAAAATGCTTTATGACCAATAAGAATTCACACACCCCCTTTAGTATTGCTTAGAAACCACAGTAAGTAAACAATAAAACATAAAGCATTATAAACATGTATGCAGTATCAATGCTTTATGAAGCTCTCGTGTATAATGCACTGTAGATACCCTTACAATGCATTAAAATGGTTGGTATAAGCATTAAGGATGCTTTGTATTGAACTGTAAAGGTATCTATATCGCATTATAGATGAGAGCTCATGATGCATAATAAAAATGGTTATAATGTGTTATGCCTTTTTATAAATATTTATTGCCATGTTTATAATGCTTTATGACTGCATTATAATGCATTATGAATGTTAGTAAATTACTAAAAACATGGCCTTAAGTGTTACTGTTTTTTAATTTGTTCCAAAAAGTCCCCCCATTTAAATTTACACCAAAACTTACAAATGTGAGACTCCCTGTATTCTTCTGTTTTTCATGAGCAGCTTATGTTGCATTTCATTTAAACATGACCTACCTGACTGCAAACAGCACAGCGCCATGTCAGAAGCTTGGTGTACTTAACCTGCATCCAGCCTAGCGTACGGTCCCTGCATTCTGCCTCATCCAGAGTCGGCTTCTTTGTGTGCGTTTTCCAGAAAAGTCCCCGGTCACTAAAGCCTCCCCGAAGATGAAACCCATTGCAGAAGCCATGGAGGATGACGTCTTCGAGTCAGGCTCCCCGATCAAAAAGCGGTCTGCCCCTAAGATGTCTACTGAGGACCTGGACAAGGTCTAGGGTCAAGCTTTATGACCTGAGTGTTGTGTTTTTCACCATGCATAATTCTTCAGCCCCTCCCCCCTACCAAATTAACCATATCATCCCCCCACCTTCCATGTTTGAAATAGAGGGTGTGCACTGATGTCACTTTTCCACCAGAACACGCCCCCTCAGACCGACTGAGTGGCCAGACATTCTGCAACATGCTCAAGGAAACTGCAAAACAAACAATTATCTGCTTAAATTAAAGGCAGTCAGACTCGACAGGGATCCGTATCACTTACAAAGGACCAGTGGATCATGGACACTGATATATGGCCAGGAACAACATATTTTAAGAGAAGTTTTCTAGGTGACTGTCTAAACTTGCTCTGTGGAGTAGCCCTCAAAGGCAAATCTGGGTTTGTCTTGGCTAGATAAGCTATTTAACAATCCCCCACATTGTCTGCAGAACACATCGTCTTGATGTTTTTTTTAAATAAATGCTGACAAAAAATTTACAGTTAGAACATAAATGAATGATGCTAAATATTTCATTGATCAGTAGTCAATACAGCATATAACTTAAGGTACGAATTTACCAAAAAAACCCAACATAACTAACACGAAATGACAACCACAAATTCACGTTTTGGAGTCTGGATTCTAGTTGTTTATGCAGATTGCAGCGATCCAGTTGCTTCTTTTCTTGTTAAATCAATTTGTACCATCAATCGCATGACAGCTCTTTCCCATTTTTCACGACATCCAAACTGAACACTAATGGTGCCGCTCAGTCTATTTGATACTCAGTGAGTGTAACCACAGTGACCTCCACTAATAGTGATGTCATATGCAAACCCTCTATAAGACTGATTGAAAATTGGGCTTACATTTTTCAGCGAAATGGAATCACATTCTTTTAGTTGATAATATTTGGTCTGCACCGAGAGTCTTAGTTTGCACCCTTTCGGCCGATAGAGACTCTCTCAGGTGTCAAGGCTTAACGTACTATGAAGATGGAAGAACACACTATGAAGGAAAATTGAGAGTGAATGACAAAGGAGCAAAAGGTGTCACATATCATATTGACACAAAAAATGTAAAGCTAGCTTAATTTTTTCATGGGTCTTTATAGTCACCCCCCGCAAATGTAAATGTAGCCCTTCCTGTTTTCCTGTGGACGGCCATCTTTTGTGATCTGAAGGCTGCATGCAGCATTGTAGCATTCAGAAATGCTCCACTGAAGTGATTGCAGCTGAAGGTGAATGTGAAGAACTGCTGAAAACCTTCTTCAGCCCTTTTATCATGACTGCTACTCCTGTTTTCTTTCTTGCAATTTTTATGAACATAACACAGCCTTGATGGCTCTAAATAATCAATGTGGTGCCTCAAAGAAAATTGTAGTAGGTGAGTCTCAATTGAATTGACCTTTTTCATAATAGTCAGTCTACCCCACTGTGGCCAATCTGTCCTTCAGCTGAACTTTTTGTTCAAAGGCAAGCACAAATAAGTAAACATAAAGAATTCTGGCAGATGATTCTTCTGAGAAAATGGGTTTGTGTCAAATTTTATTATTTTGACATAAATTGATATCTTAGAATTAGTTTCAAACCTAGGTGTTTGCATTGCAGATGAAAGAATGATTTCCTGTCCTTGCCCCATGTTCTCCTAGAATGGTGTTTCCCAATCCAGTCAAGGACCCACAGGCGGTCCACATTTTTGCTCCCTCCAGAGGACTGTCTGGCCGGGAGCTGAGAGGGAGCAAAAACATGGACCGTCTGTGGGTCTCAAAAGACCGGGTTAGGAAACACTAACCTAGAGTAAACGTTAAATAGCTTGAAAAATGGATTAAGTTTGGCAAATGGCATCTTCATGAAACATGACACTTTCTGCCCACAGTATCCATAGTTTTTCCCAGATTAAGAACGATTATGTTGTGCTGTATACACTTATTTGTATTTTATGTACCCCATTACTACCGACACTTTGGTCACTAAATTTGCACTGTTCACAATTTTTTACCAATGCACAATGTTTTTTTTTTTTTTTTTTTGTAAAAAACAGTCAAATGCTTGTTGATTGTCCAACCTCTCTTAATACCATGTGGAATTCCGTAAAGTAGTGGATCTGAAGGGTGATACTGGCTATTTTAATTATAGGGTGTTCTATTCTGAAGAACCTCTGCTTCAGAATGAGATATTCCATATCCAATCTCAATAGTAACTTTCACATATATAAAATTCACATATTTAATGTCTCACAAAAGACTGAGAAACTCAATTGTCTAAACAATCAATTTCAAATTTAATGATGCAATTACCCATGACTGATTTGTGAATTCTGTTTCTGCATGAACAAAGAATAAAAAGGAATAAAACATTTATAGAGACTGTTTTGACAGCAGTGTTTAATTATTTAATTAATTGTAATGAAATACTTCCCCCCCAAGCATTGGAGTATTCTGTTATAGAAAATACTGAAATGAACCAATATATTTTCATTAGTTTGCCTGCAATTAATATGTTTAAAAGCAAATGACAGTTTCAGACAATGTGGCCAATGTGGAAGCCTGTTCATTTTTAAGTGACGCTTGCAAACAAGCTGCTCCCACTTTTCTGAATAATGTTTTTTATTGGCTAGTATAACAATATAGCTCTCGTTGGCAGATAAACTCAGGAACTGCATAAGCATGAGTTTATTACTGTCTGGACAATGCATCTTGTCAACACTTACATTGCATGGCTAAACAAAACCTGGGTAGATTATTAGTAGGACAGAAACAGCCACTGAAACAACAAGAAATGCCAATATATTTTTTTTTTTATTTTGATCAAGTAAAACATTAAAACCTCTTAAATTCTTGATTCACAAAAACAAAATAATTAAAAAGATGTTATAAAATGTGATATGCAAACAACAACAATGAAAACAACAAAAATAACATCATCATTCAGTGCTTTACATTGACATAAAGACAAAACAGCATGGACCAACTCTCTGCCCTATCTCCTCCCAAACGGTAATGTTCAAGCAACCCTTTGCCATCGCCAGAGAGTATCAGGGTGAGTGAGATTTAGTGGGCAGAGATGTCAACTATGTCATGGTGTTTCCACCACAGGAAGTGCACTGAGCCTGCCTCCGACTGTCATCACAGGGATTCAAGCAGTTTGTTTCTCAAAAAAATAAAAAAATAAACATTTAATCATGAGGTAGCTCTGGCGATCTTCCTGCCTTTTACATTCATTCACCTATAGTATGTGTTCCTGAGCCCCTCAAATTAATCAGAAGAAAAAAAAATAGAATCAGTAGTTATATTAATCTGAAAAGTAAATAAAAATATTATCAATATACTTCACTGGAAAGCATTACATTTCTTGTTCGTTATTTCATGTAAACAAGTGAGATGGAGGTGTTTGTTGTGTATAATATATTGCTGTTAATTGGTTAATAAAAAAGTGGTTGGTTTTCATTTCCACAGAACAAAAGAAAAACAATTCAGAAATGATATCTATATATATATATTTATATATGAGCTTTAATAATTACAATAGAAAATACTTTCTACCAATGCCACATAAAGGCACACGCCCACTAAATCTCTTTGAAACGTGGATTCTGCTGTAAACCAAGCAGCCTGAATCTTTGCAGACAGGTTAGAGTGTCCACTGCTTATTGTGTTGTTTTTGCCACAAACCTATGACACAGTACTATGAACAGCTGTGTCAGGGTTACTCAGCTTTATTACTGCATGGTGGGAGAAGCACTATTTTGAGGCAATTCACCCAAAGGAGAATCAGAAGCAAAAAGCAAGTGGGCGACCAGTTTGAGGGTAAATACCAAGCTTTCAGTCATCTCCAAACGCAGAAACGTATATTCCATATGAGGCCGAGTTTCTTTTAAAGCTAGCTACAGGGACAGGTGTAGACCAAGGTCACACAGGCAGAGCCGACTGAACCAGGATATTTACACTGACTGAAGGGGACTCCAGTTCTTTAAACTCCTTTTAAAATCCTTTACATTAACATCAAGGATTTTGGTTAAAGACTTCTGAAATATATAAGGGATCCATTTACAACAGAACTACATGTATTAAAGCCAGAATCATTTGCACTTTTGGTATCTTTGCCTCCAACTAAATCGCTATTTAAAAGTTATCGTCGTTATTCCCAAGGGGAATAACAGGCCTTATTTGTCTCTCTGAATGTTCTATTTGTGCGATGCATAATCAAACTGCAGTATCTATAGTCAGTGGTGCCACTACAGATTTTGGGCACCATGAAAGCATATCACATTGTGCCCCCTACCCATGCCAATCGGACTATGTTCAAAATTATTTGCAATAGTCCTAACATTCCCCCTTTTAAGGCACTCCCACCTACAGTGAGCACTGCGACCAAACAGTTCTAAGCGGCCAGGGAGCTACAGAAAGATGGGCGGGGGATATCAGGCATTTCTGCAGCAAAATTCCCAGCTGTGCTACACTATGTTAAGTCTGGGACTTGCAAGGCCAACTCCAACTGTATGCCGTAACAGCAATAAAGAAGCTTGCCTTGACCCGCTAGAACTGCGGGAACAGAACGCATTTACCTTCAATCTACAGCTTGTGCTCTGGGACAATACAACTGTGCTCTTATCTATGTGGCACCACCAGAAGCGGAAAGGTCTGGGTCAGAAAGTACGAATCCAGACCAAGATTTTCTTTAAACCAGCTCGCTGAATATAAAGAGTCACAGTCACAGAGAACTCAACTGATTGATTGAAACAAAATCTTCGTCTGGGTCTGATCTTTGGAACCTGAACGTTCCACCTCTGGCCACCACATCCATCTGTTTAACAGATCTATAACAGTGTTATCCAGCAGGCTCCCTCAGTCCACCCCCACCGATTTGAGAACTACACAGGGTGACTACTAGGCTTAAAAACACCAGGTTTGCGGCAGTCGGACAATTAGTATGGCTTGGAATTACTGTTCTTTCTCTTTCTGCTGAATATGCTAAAAGCCCTGTTGACAGTGGCCCTCAGAACAACCCCACAGCTGCCCTTTGGTCCTGATGCCGCCTGTCACAGGCATCATATAGATGGACATCTGTGGAATGCAGATACAGGGTCTCCGGTGGTGCGGAGCCACTGTTTGCGAAGGTGAGCGACGGAGCCTGACTTTGCCCCAGTGGGCCTTGGGAGACGAGGGCCACGCAGGGCAGTAATGAGGTAGGCTATGCTGTAAACAGAAAATAAGCTATTTGTCATATTAACTCTAGGCCTGTGTAGACACCACAGAAATCAGGGCTTCAACATTGGCACATAGGTTCAGCACAATCCAACTCTACAGTTAATCTTAACAGAAAATAATAATAATAAAATAATAATAATAACATACAAGTCATTTGATTATCAGAAATGTAAAACTATCTAGAACTCAGAGGTAGTTACTAATAACAGTACATTAAAATATGCAGATAAACACTAAACTTGTGAATGCTTTTCCGAGTACATACGCATCTGTAGACAATTCCCAAAAGGAAAAAGTACACTTTTTTTTGGTATATTCCCTGAGAACAGTTCTTCATCCTGAGATGCATCATGGGTAAAAAATACTTTATACAAAAAGGTCTAAACGACAGTGAGGGATCGGGTTTGGTTTGTGCTGTAGTTTATCAGATTTGTACATATTTGAAGATTGGATAGAAAACACACAAAATAGCTGCATTAGGAAACAAAATCTTACTATTGAACCTTCTGCCTTTGAAGTCACAGGGAACACCGTTGTTGTACTGGCCATATTAATTCCTACAATAAAGCCAAGAAACTTTGGTATAGGATTTGATAAACTAACTGCAAGTCTTATACCAAACAAGCTGTCTTCTGAATCACATCATTTAAGGAAATGTCTTTTGATTTGTCAACACACATAAAAAGTGGCCCTTCCTCTGGTATTGTGAGGATGCATTTTCATTATGCAAGTTTCACATTCAATATCGTCAGAGCAGAGTTCTTTTGTCCTTGGAAAGCTTTCAAGGCGACCTTTTCGAGTGTCCAGGTGCAGACACACAAAAACCCACATCCTTGAGTCAAATATCCCATCTTCTGTAAACACAAGCAGCAGTAATCGTTGTGGTGTGCGTGTCAACAGGTGCAATGGAGGTAAAAACAACAAAAAAAACAGGAGATTTGTGTGGGAAAGGTAAATAGGAATTAGTGACACTTCAAGCTATGCTCAGTTCATAATAATTCAACCACTGCACAAGATACGGTGCAGCCTCAGGAAAAATCTACTACATTAGTACCTTTGATATGTGTCAAAAAGGTAACAAAGATATATTAATATACTCAGGAATTAAATTAATTCTTTACAACTGCAGCATGGATTTACTAAATGGCCAATCACTCATTTTCTTACTTAATGCGAACACTGAGAAAGATTTTTCTATTTGCAGTTCTAACTACTTCTTTACCACACAATGTCTTGTCTTAAGCCATGCACACACATTGTTCTCGAAGTGAGAAGACAAGATACATCAAACAAACAGAGAGAGGGGCCGGGAGCAGGTGAGTGGGTGGGGCAAGAACACAGCGGCATTTTAACCCTTCGCTGGCTGCGTTTGTATCTGCAACAGGACTGGACTCGTCACTCTTGGTCAAACCTACCCAGACATCGTTCAAAAAGCATACTGACGTGGGCATCTGGTGTATCAGATCCCCCCCCCCCAAAAAAAACCCAAAAAAAACACTTTGACCAATTTTAACAAAACAACTTTCCAGCTTGTATTCACAGCCTGTAGGGTGGGACATGGTGGTGAATGGGCGCCTTGGCCTACTTGAAGATTTGTAGTATTGCTGTGAGAGAGTCGATCGCAATAGGGCCATGTCTGACTGAAGACAGAAGAGGAACGCTCTGCCCCATTGTTACACTGCAGGTACAGGCAAACTACAGCAGAGTCTCTGAGAAATTACATGAAGAAGGAACGCCTGAAGCAATCTTTCTTTTTTTTTTTAAAGAAAAAAGTTTCGCAGGAAAAACAACGGTAAGAATTGAAGTGTGAGAAGGATTTAAAATGTAACGAGCCCACGGACAGACAAAACCATGGTTAGCTTCCCAACAAGGTACGTAAAAGATACTCAGACCAAATAAAAGAAACGACTACAATTCTGCAAGTGGACTGTCTCCTCTTCCTGCAATGGAGGTTTTGCAGAGATGTTAATGCCCAGATTCCTCCAGATAATCTCAGTCTCTAAGACAGTAGTTGAGTTGAGATGTAGCTGCTGTTCTGAAGTTTGAGGTAGCTGAGGGACAGGAGAAGGTGGAGGTGAAGTGGGGGCAGATACCAGCGGGCTGACGGACACGAGAGAAGCAGCAGGGTGGTGACCGGGGTCAGGTTTTTTTCCGCTTCTGGACCCGGGGGGTGGGGTCTTCTGGGGAGCCGGAGGACTTGCTGTGCGGAGAGGCCTCGTGTAAGGAATGCCCTGGCCAGTCACTGCTTTCTGGGGGGTAAGAGGGCGGAGCAAAGGCAGAGGTAGACGGCTGCACATCAATGTCATGTCTTCCCTGAGAGCTGGAGGGTGCCGGGGCTAACGTCTTATGGGGGCAGTGAGCCACCATGTGAGTAATGCTCTGGCAGTAGTGGCACTTCTTTGGCTGAGGTGGAAGGTTACACTCCTTGGCATGGTGATCCAGACCCCCACAGTTGTAACATCTGAGAGGAAACAGCAAGATATTTTTCAACAAATATTCAATGTTCTCATTTAATCTAATTAAACGTTTAATGCATTTTACTTTTTAGAAAAAAAGCTTTAGTGCAACGCTGATTTGTACCGAGTCTTATTAACCAATTGGGTTCTTCCATCTCTATAGAAAATTTTATGAAAGCCAGTGTAATACCCAATATTCACCCGTAGATGACAGCACAACATCGTCTATTGGTAGTAGATCAACTGATATCAATTAGCTTTTTGTAAATATCTGAATTCAGGTACAATTTGGTGGATGCGTTGGGTTGATTTTAACTGTATAGATTGAGAAAACGAATTTTTCTAACGTATAAGAAAGTCGTGTTCTGGTATGACGATAAACCCCAATCTTACGAGGTCATCTGTTTTCAATGATTTAACGATGTATTATATATTAATTCGAAATACATGGTTGGGTCCTATAAAAATAATCGGGCCACAAAAAATACATGTCTACCAACAAAACTAAAAAGTAATAATGCAGGAAAATAAATTTAAAGAAAAAATACATCACGTTAGTGTAAATTTGTTGCGGAATTAAAAAACCCGCCCTTTTAGCGTCGTTATTCTCGCCTGGTCCTGAGTAGCAGCTGGGGTATGTTCGCAGCGTGCACACAGGCTACGCACAACCAGTCATTCGATATTGGGCAAAACAAGCGCTGCGTCGGTAATTAACTCGCCCTACGGATCGCTCAAACCGCGCGGCTTCCCTTATAACGCACGTGGTAACGTCACATATCCACGCGCATGCATTTGTAAGTGCGACCTGGACTTTTTCAATATCAATGAACGCTCGCTTAATGCTTAGAGCTGGTGCTTATATTTTAACAAAAGGCAATTTTTGAAGTATTTTGAAGCAATTATTTTGGTAACGTGATGTGAAGCATTAAAATCCTGTTTCGAATGCTTAAGTTTCAAAATGTCCAAAGGAGTTGTGCACTTTATAAGGAATCGGTAGCGATCCTTATGAAAAAGAGCAGCTCTACTGAGACCTCTTGGGTTACTAGGGGACTTCCTGTTACCACGGTAATGTGGTATACAATGGTAACACGACTGACCTTAGCATTATCCTGCACCTATATGTAGTCTTCTTCATTTAGTCCTACCTTAAGTGCTGTTTTCTGAAAGACGAGAAAACAAGATGCTGGATTCTGCAGATGCCATGCACTATATATTTTATATAAAGGCGTTATCTTATAACCTATATGTAATGCCATTCAGCGTATTCTGAAGAAATGTTAAAAAGTGTATTGGGGTAGCACCATCAGTAATAACAATAACGTGATGCTGCATTAGGCACTTTTATTTTCCCGAACGATGATATAAAGGTTGGGTGACTTTGGGGAAATATTTAAAGTGCTCTGGACAAAAGCGGCAGCTACGCGCGACTACATGCGAATGTGACGTAAACGTTTACATCTGAGGCATGCTAGCCTGAAACACCAGGCATAAATATTCTAGCATCCAGGGTAAAAAATAAATCAATCTAAGCTGATTATTTTGTGGTAAATTTTCGTGTTATGAATTCAGTCATTCACAAACGATACACACATTTTTTTCCAAGGCAAAATTAATTTAAAAATGCATGGGATCCAATGGAAACGTGTTCTTCAGAAAACACAAGCACGCATAAATTACGTAAAGGCGGAATAAGGTTGGACAGTGTAATTTGTTTTGAATACTGTTTCATTAACCTAATTAGCGTACTCCTTTATTTCGAGTTCCCCAAATTTCTAGAATTCCACAATTCATAGAAGTGTGTCACGTGGCCAGGCGCCAGGGGTCACGTGATCTACTCTAACGGCTGAGTCGAATGGGGAGCGCCGCTCAGCAAACCTTTGAACAGCTTATATGGCCACATTGTGCGGTAAATGCTCCCTCATCATTTCTTATTCCTGAAAAGACTTTTTGTTCATTTTATTGTCTTGCGTCACCGGCGAAACGATGGTTATGTCAGAATATGCACCTATATAAATCCCCAGCTATAGGTACACCAGAAAATATCATTTAAACGTCATCAAGCAGAATAACTGCTGTTTTAACAATGAGCAGCTTTGCTGTCGTTTATTTTTTTAGATCCACATACGCAGAACAACGCAACCAAATATGAATAAACACTGCTGGTGTTTATCAGCTGTTTCTAAAAGAAACAAACTTCCGCGTGACTAAACGCGAGGCGTGCAGGGGGTCCAGCACGGTGGCATCTTCAATTAGAGCTCGCGAGGGGAAGGGGGAAGGGCACAGGAATTCGGTTTTCATCGGCGCTCACTTGCTTGGGGCCGTCCACCTACCACTGCCCAACCTCACTAAACCCTTCCCTTCCCCCACCTTCAGCCCCGAAACTGCCACCCATCAAGGCGCACAAACCGCTGCTTCCCCTAGCAAGATCCATCTCAAACCAAATACATGTTATAAGCACACAGTTGCTGTCGCACTCGTTTTAAAATCTATTTTGTTACTAAAACGCATTTAATATGAAGGTAACGTGATTATTAAAACATTTAAAATTTTAATTTTTTAAAATAAGTTAATTTGCCATTATTAATTCACTCGATTGTTTTCAGTAGCTCTAGTTTAATGTAACTCACAAGGCAACCGATTAACAAAAAAATCACATAAAAAAATTCAGGACCTCCACCTTGCTCCTTTTGCATCCAAATTAAAGGATCCCAGAAGTACAAAACTCACACACAACCAGCAAAACAACTGCATTTTATCTAAAGCTGCATGTTTATACGTCTGTAAGTTTGGTATTTATTAATATGGTCGTGAATAGGCTCACATCTTTTTCAGATGCAAGACATAAACTGAGGAAGCTTCTCTCATAAGACAATTTCAGAATCAGTTATGAAACTCCGTAATTATTGGGATTAATTATAATGTTTTGCTGATAACTTATATAAAGTTTGATTATTTCTAGAAAAAAAGTAAAAGAAACAAAGAACAAATAAATCACAAGGGATTTTCCCCCTGCATTTTCATCCACAAATAATTGTTTTCTTTCATAATTTCATTAAAATGATAAAAAGTGATCAGTACATCACAGGGAATTAATTTATGTTTTGAAAAAAAAAAAAAGAATCAGTCCAGACAATTTATATTAAAGTTCTTTTATATTTATTGCTTATAATAATAATTTAAAGAAGGATTATTGTATGGCTGAATTAAATACCCCAGCTGTACTCTAACAACTCACTTTCAACATAACAGAAATATAAATTTAGAATGTAATAATTTTTTTTCAGCCAGTTGCCATTTCGACATGGAGAAACCGGAGTTCTGTGCCAGGCAGACACAACCATTAATACAAAAACAAAAGATATTTCATATTTAGCTAGAGATGTTTAAATTGATGTATTTTGCAAGGTCTTATTCACTTACATCCTAGTTACCTTTCTGTTATTAATTTAAAATGAAATAAAAGCTGAGCAGTACATTATGTGTACTATTATTCCTATAAAGGCTTACAAAATAAATCATAAAATATAAACTGGGTCTTTTTAAAAGTTTCATTTGAGTCTCACAAGTCAGTTAAGTCCGTTTGGAGCTGGCTTCTGTTGGTGATGTTCCACCCACTAACCCCTAGAAGGTCAAGGGCCAAACCAGAGCTCCCAGAAGATGTTAATTCATAGCCAAAGAGGTTGTTGTTTAATAAAAAATGCAGTTCCTTAAAACAACACTCCTGGAAAGAAGTGCTTTGTGTTTAACCTTCAAGGATACAAATTATTTATCAGAACAATAAAATCAGACTTATCCTTTTCCTCTGTAATTTTTATAGTATTTTCTAAACTTTATTTATTTGATCAACTGTGCTTTAAAGAAAGAAAAAAAATCAAACAATGTATATATAGCTAGCTATCCTAAAAGGACGATGTCTGTGAATCCATGTCTTATCAGAAGGATCGCGTTCAGAATGTGTCTGCTGCTTAAGGCTAGATTTAATATGCTTTAAAAACCTAATATTATTAACATAACTCAGCAAAATTCAACATGATAATAAACAATTTTCACTGAAGAAAAATATGCTGGGACATGAGGCCAGTTGTTGACGCAGTAACAAACTGCTGTGATGTATAAGTTGCACACATATCACTAATAAACAGACCCTTTCATATTAAGATCATTTGCATTAAAACTAGACAAAGCAATTTCCCTTTCCACTTTAATAAAATCCTTGTATTTTGCATTCTACTTCTTTGAGTAGGATTAACCAATTGACATGGAGAACTATAAAGCCATGTCTACCATTGGACAGATAACATTTTTTATTGGAAGCAATCACAAAAACAGAAGGACAATTTGCTTAAGATGGTTCTGAAAAACATATAAAGTAAAATATAACGCAAATTGAAAATAAACCAGGGGTTAAAAATTAGCTAGAAAAAAAGGCAGCTCTGCCTTCTGAAATCAGTTTTCTTTCAAACACTTTTGTTTTGGGTGTCAGTCATAGAACATTATGATGCAGCTGCGTTAGCAGCCCGCAACACCTGAATCACATTTCAGCTGGGGGGAGGGGGGGGGATAAAACACAAAATCTTACCTCTGATGCAGTGCAACTGTCATTGTCACAAATTATTACACAATAATTGCAATAAAAATAAACACGAATATCAGCTACCTAAATGGGTTTTTCCCCCCTGCAAGAGTGTTTTTTTCTCAAATGCATCCACCTAACACAAAGCCAAAGCTGAAGGCTGAGTAGACTAACAGATATAAAAATAGCTGCAATTTAGAGAGGTAAAACCTTACTCACACAACACTGCCATAAAACCATGGCAACCACTGTAGACTCACAGCGCGCCCGCCTCATTGGAAAGCCTGCCTCACTCACACCCTCATGTTCTGTTGATATTTGTAATATCTGCACCGCCACTGTATAAATTTTCAATTTTAATCAGATCTCATACAATAGAAACCTAAGGAGAGCCCCCCCCCCTCCATGCCTTTATGCAGTGGAGCTGTGTGAACAAGGCAACATATTTGATTCTGAACACAGTGCGTATGGTACTGTTCCTTAGGCACACCCACAATGCCATGTGCGCTTAACAAATACTGGCCCACCCCCATTGCCACGGCACCATGACCGTCAGCAAGCCGCCACACTGCCCAGCTCATACTCACCGGTCTCCCTTTGGCTTCCGCTTCTGCAACATGGTCTTCCCCTTGGGCCTGCGCTCGCTGCCGGTACAGGGCCCCCCCCCAGGGCCCGTCACTCGCAGTGACTCCAGGCCCTTGGAGGACTTCTTGAAGGTGAACTCCACGGGCTCGCCCTCCTTCAGGCTGCGGAAGCCCTCCATGTGCAGTTTGCTCTAAAAACATGGAATTTCTGGTCAGGGCTTTGGGGCCATCCTCAGACTGGGCATTCCGGCACGATCTTGGTACTTCTGCCGGCCGAGATAATAGTCATGGGAGACAAGGGAGCAGCGGCGCACTTGGAAATCTAGAACTGACTGTAATTTCTGTTTTTGTTTTCTTTATTTATTGATAGAGGATGGACGGATGCTAAACGGCAGCCCGCTGTCTGTGCCTGCAGCAAAAGCAGCACCTCGCCTTCTCCCCCGTGACCAGCAAACTGAACGCTTATGGAAGGAGGACAGGATCCCTGAGATGGGATGCTACTCTCGGACCAGCGTCAGCCTGGACTGCGCATCCCTATCCAGCATACAGCCTCCGGCGCTGCAGCCACTAATCTATGTCTTCCTGTGTTTGGCAAATGGGCTAAAGACCCATTTCCGTTTCATTGTTTATATTGATCCTAATGAAAGATTGTAAAGATATTTTTGAAGACTGTAAAGATGTTTTTAACTGTATAATTTAAAAATACAATTCGAAGTGCAAAACATTAAAACATACATGGTTGGTTAAATTGTTTTGTTACTTATGCAAATTAAAATATTTCTTGAAAGCTATCATAGCATCTATATCACGCAATACGTCTAATTTCATTTATTGATAAATTACTTGTTTTTTAATACAGTTTTAAAATATCTTATGTTTTCACCAGATCCCTCATTTGATATCAGTAAAATTCATTCTTTTTCTCTGGTTAAAGAAGTCTAATTTAATATGACCAGTGTTACTAATAAAACAACACATGCATATGAAAAATATGGTCAATTAAAATACAACATTTGAGGACTATTCTGAAAACTGAATACTATCAATGTTAAATATAACAAATAATAACACCATACCAAAAGGGAAGATACTACCACCAGATAATGTAAAATTTCAGTTCTTTGAAACCATTTATGTTCATACAATGTCATACGATTGCCTGCACCTCACTATATTCATTAATTGAGTTTTTTCTTTTTTATCTTTTCTGCAATTTTCTGTCTGTCTGTCAACCCACCCCGTCACTCACCTACCTACTTAGGATATTTATAAAATTGGACATATTCTTAAATTAGAAGCTCAAGGATCTTCACCACTATGTAAACATTACTGAAATCACAACGTATTTCTTTCTGAAAATTAGTCGCTAAATTTCTGTGCAAAAGGTCATATGCCCAAAGCTACATACGATATATACAGTGCTGAAAATTATAAACATACACACACATATAAAACAATTATTTCTTTAGCTGACCATGTCATCCAGTACAACTTACATGGGTTCTGTTGGGAAATATACTCAAACAACGTCACACAACAGAGCAACATCAGTCGAATCGTCATTAATCACACGCCTGCCTTAAGTGTGCTTAACTCACAAAGCATCTCCGCTGAAAAGAAAGTGTTCTTAGCATAAATGAGGCAGCCCGTGTCACTGCAAACAAGCAAGTAAAGCAGGAAAGAAAAACAAGGAACCTAATAAACACCATTCAGCTAACGGTAGTACAGAAATGGCAATTCCTGGGTCAGCGGCATCATCTGCCTTTAGCCTGCGACGCTCCTGACCGTCGGCCTGGAGCTTGTTCCAGCATAGAAGGTCTGCTGGAGAAGGATCGAGCCCCAGAGAGTAGGACATTCCTTAGAAATCAGAGAGCAAAGACCCAGTCTGGCTAGAGTGTAGAGGCAGTAATCAATGTACAGAGTGATAGAATCATGTCTGACTCTTGTCTGTAAATACAATATACATTTACATCAAATATGAAATGATCACTATAAGTGCTGATACAAGTATTTTCTACAGCAAAAGGTCTTCTTAGATTATGTATTACCTTTTCCCTAAAATTAACATAAAATATACAGCAGAGGACTGAGACTGCAATACTTAGCTAAAATGTGCTCTCGTCCCTCCTGTTATTTACTCTCATTCACAAACCTGTAAACACCACAATCTCTCAGGCTGCATATAATCCCTGGAAACACATCAGCTGTGACCCCATTGTCACATGGGGCTTTTGGTATAGTGGACATAAAGCACACTGGGACCAGCGGCGACCACAATGCACCTGCCCCCCACCCAGTCATTGCCCCATCAAAAAAAAAAAAAAGACCCGCCCCACCAGAAAGAAACAGGAAGACTGCAGTGTTGAGCGGTAGCCATGAATAATTCTGCCGAACGCGGACTGACCAGGGCGAAAGCCTTCGTCACAGCAGAGGAGCTACATCAAAGCCGTGCTCATTAAACATCACGAAACATTTAAATTCAAGGGATTTGTTGTTTACGGCAACATTTTTTTGTTCCATTCACTTAAACCATTTTTCAGAATGGGTGGTAATTAGCTAGCTGCCATTCACTGCAGGTTCCACCTTCTGGAACATACCAGTAAATGAATATTGAAACTGGGCAAACCAGCCTCATGTTCATTTGCATACAGCTGTATATGTAACACTGAAGACTATATTCCCTCCTGGTCCACCACCAACACAGACCACCTCCACCCCCCAAGCACCTCCACACCTTCAGTGGTCCAGGCCAATCTGCCTCCTGGTCCTTTTTTAAACGGCCTTTTTTTGTAATAAATAACGATCGCAAGCACAAAAACCATTCAGGCCCAGCCAGCTGTCTCTCGCGTGGGGGTTGTGGTTCTAAGAGGCACTCGAGCGGCACGTGTGGGGGTCAGCCCTACGTGGACCTGCACCACACCCAACCCCCCTACCACCCTACATCCCATCCCAACCAAACCACGGTCCAGGAACCTCTCCCTCTACCTGGCTAGTTTTCCATTTTGCCCCTGTTCTCCTCATTCCCTGCTGTGAAGGAAAAGAAAGAGAAATGAAAAGAAAACACCGAGAGGTAGTGAAGGAAAGAGGAGGGGGAAGAGTGAGACAGCGAGATGGTGACTGAGGGAGAAGAGTGAGAGAAAGGGAATGGCAACTGAGGGGGAACAGTGAGTGAGAGAGAGCGATGCCGACAGGGGAAGAGTGAAAGAAGGGGAATGGTGACTGAGGGGGAAGAGTGAGAGAGAGGGATGGCGACTGAGGGAGAAGAGTGAGAGAGAGGGATGGCGACTGAGGGAGAAGAGTGAGAGAGATGGATGGCGACTGAGGGAGAAGAGTGAGAGAGATGAATGGCGACTGAGGGAGAAGAGTGAGAGAGATGGCGACTGAGGAGGAAGGGAGGCTTCCATGGTTTAGTATGGATTGATACAAAGAGACTGATTATGGACTCCTGTCTACCTCTGGGCCTTCTGGTGCAAAAAAGGAGGAGAGGAGAACGGAACAAAAAGGAAAGACAATGCCAGGGGTAATGGGAAAAGGAGAGAGGGCTTAAATGTGTACATTTGCAATACTCTTATTAAACAAGCATTATCTGATACTTAAAGAAACTAAACAAGGACAAAGATTCAAGAATAGTTTACATTAGGCCAAATTATACATCCATCCAACTATAATGCATTTACTAAAAATACCAGAGTGCTCCCTCTAATATTTGATTAAAAGTATTTATACCAGCATGAAGTCTGTGGAGACAGCAATGTCACACCAAGGTTAGAAAGCGATGTAACTAACATTTTTTTTTTCAGACAGCCAAATAGTGTTCTTTGACAGCCTAATTATCCAAATAACGGCTGGACACTGTAAACATTTGGTATAACATCCACACAGCTCACATTAACCAGAAATTGCCCGAAGCCTGAAAAATATTCGTATATTAAAATATTTAAAGGTTTCCACGACAGTCAGGTGTATTAATCACCTTGCATTCCTGTTATAGTTTTAAATATAACACTGAATTTATCAACCAAAGGAAAAATTTCCCTAAAAGCATTTAAATTCCCCTGTGCAACGGTATTACATAATTCGGTTATTTTTTTCCTCAGAACTGACACTAATTATTAGACCAGCTTTATTTAATAAATAAATTTAAAAAAACATAGCAGGAATGGAGACAGCTACAGCATAAGAAATTGTTTGCTGCTCTTCATATCCAAAGAGTGACAGTAAATTGAAATTAGTTTGCTATTCAACATAACTCATATTAAAATTTGATTATTTCATTATTATTTCATTATTATTTTATTAAATTGTAGCTTTTATACAAATTGTTCTTATATATAACAATTTATATGTCAGAAACCTTCCAGCAATAGCCTGGTTTGAGAATTAAATAATTTTTGACAAATTTCCACATAAGAATACAAATAAAGCAAAAAACAAAAGCATTATTTGCATTAGGTATTATTAATTATATCAACACTTATTTGTATACTTGATAACAAAACTAAAATAATAATAATAATAATAATAATAATAATAATAATAATAATAATCTCACACTGGACTACATCTAGTATAAAGAAAAAATGTAAACTTAGTTACACTGAATATAAATACTCTTAAATATATTTATTTAGTCAAAGATTTTATAGCAAAATTATCAACAGCAATAATGTTACCAAGACCATTATAAACTAGCAGTAGGGGATGCTGTATTTCTGTTAGCCGTCATATTCAGCAAAGAGGCTCTGGACAGGAAATAGAAATGGCGGAAACAGCAGCGTTGTAACGGCAGCTGCTTCCATAGTCAATGTGCAGCATCTTAAACCCGCAGGAGTGCACCCACTTGCTTTTAAAGTGCATCACTTAGCTGCCCCCTAACCCTTGCAGCATCTCTGCAGTGTTTCCAAATCCAGTCCTTAGGGATCCACAGACAGTCCACATTTTGATTCCTCCCGGTTCTATGCTAGACAGTCTACATTTTTGCTCCCTACTGGGAATTGAGAGAGAGAAAAAACATGGACTGTCTGTGTGCCCCCGAGGATTGGATTGGGAAACACTGGTTTAGAAAGCTTCTTAATGCTCATTCCGGTCTCAAGGGTCTTATGGTGCCATCATCCAAATGTGTTTTGTTAAAATGTGTACAAACTTCCTTCAGTAATAATTCAGTTAGATATAGCTGCTTAAATTTAACAGC